ACACCGAAGGTTGCGATCCTGTTACTGGTCAGTAAAAAAGACAAAAAGGAAAAAAAAAAAAAGAAGACCTAAATACACAGAAAGACATCTTGTGTTTACGGTTGGATGACTTAATATTGTTAAGATGGCAATACTGGCCAAAGTGATCCACAGATTTAATACGATCCCTATCAAAATTCCGATGACCTTTTCTGTAAAAACGGAAAAGCCAATTCTCAAATTCACATGGAACTGTAAGCCTGAAACAGCCAAAACAATCTTGAAAAAGAACAAAGTTAGAGGACTCACACTTCCCAATTTCAATCAAAACTGAGTGTGGTACTGGCATAAGAATAAACATATAGACCAAGAGTGTCCAATAGTAAACCCAAACATCTGTGGTCAATTGATTTTTGACCATATGGTGCCAAAGCTATTCAATAGGGAGAGAATAATCTCTTCAGCAAATGGTGTTGGACAGATAGATACCCACATGCAAAAGAATGAAGTTGAGGGTTGGCCGGTTAGCTCAGTTGGTTACAGCATGGTTTTACAACACCAAGGCTGAGGGTTTGGATCCCTGTACCATCCAGCCACACACACAAAAAAAAGACCCGAGATCATTCCTAATGGAGAGTTTCTGGAGGACACACCACACCCCAAAAGGGTAGGAAGCTTCTGCATTAGCAGCCCCTACTAAATCTCCAATTCAATGGACCCTGTTTCAATGATCTCTAAAAGAATGAAGTTGGACCCCTACTTCACATCACAGACAAAAAAATAATTCAAAATGGTGGAGTATACTAACATTAATAAAGCAAATGTATTTCACAGGGCCTACCTTACAAGGCCCTGTAGTTTCAGGTATAGCCTAACTTTTCAGAATTACACAAAGAAATGTTAAGTTTGTAAAAGACAGGAAACTCTCCCCGGGCTAAAGTCTCTGTTGTAGATAAAGAATTGTAATACAGCAAAATTGCTGGCTCTAAGGGCAGATGTCTTTGGTGCAGCTAAGCCTAATGATTGTTGCCATGACAATAATCTTACTGTTCTCTTTGTAACCCCCTATGTTCCTTTTCTGTAACTTTCCTGCCTGGAGAATAAATACTGAGAGAAGACTCTAGTTCGGTGTGGGTGTTATTTTCCAAGGAGGAATGCCTCTCTCTTGAGGGTTCCTGGAAAATTAACCCCTTNGGGGCCTCTCACTGCTCAGAAGAAATGGGCTTTGAGTAATCCTTTGTGTCTCCGTCACCCTGTGGGAGAAGTGACACAAAATGATTTGACAACCTGAATATAAGCACTGTAACTATAAAAGTCTCAGAAAAAAACGGGGGTAAATCTTCATGGCCTTGAATATGACATCTTTTCTTAGAAATTGCAAAAGCACAAATGACAAAATAAAATAAATAAATAGGACTTCATCAAAATTAAAACCTTTTGTACATCAAAGCACAGTATGAAGAAAGTGAAAAAACAACCCATGGACTGGGGGGAAATATTTGCAAATCATATCTCTCAGAAGAGTCTAGTATCCAGTATATACAGATAACTCATACAACTCAACAGTATAAAGACAACTCAATTTAAAAATGGGCAAATAAGAAGATATACAAATAGACAATAAATACACAAAAAGACGCTCAACATCACTAGTCATTAAGGAAATACAAATCAAAACCACACACGCACACGATGAGATACCACTCTACACTCACTACAAAGGCTATAATAAAAAATCAGAAAATAAATGTTGGTGAGAACGTGGAGAAACTGGAACCCTCATACACTGCTGGCTGGAATGTAAAATGGTGCAGCCACTGTGGAAAACAGTCTGGCAATTCCTCAAGAAGTTAAACATAGGACTACCATATGAGCAAGTAATTCTAATCCCAGGTAGATATCCAAGAGAAATGAAAACATAATGCCCACATAGAAACTTACACCTGAATGTTCACAGCAGCATTATTCACAATAGCCAAAAGGTGGAAACAATCCAAAGTGTCCATCAACACATAAACTAATAAACTGTGGTGTATATACACACAATGGAATATTATTCAGCCAAAAAAGGAATGAATTACTGATCCAGGCTAGAACATGGATGAACCATGAAAACATTATGCTCAGTGAAAGAATCCAGACAAAAAATGATAATATTATGATTCTAGTTATATGAAATATCCAGAATAGGCAAATCCACAGAGACAGAAAACAGATTAGTGGTTGCCAGGAAATGGAGGCGGTGAGGAGGGTGAGAGAAATGAGGAGTGATTACTTAATGAGTACAAGATATTCTTCTGGGGTATGAAAAAGTTTTGGAACTAGATAGAGGTGGCAGTTGCAGAACATTGTGAATGTATGAAATGCCACCAAATTGTTCATGTTAAAATGGCTAGTTTTATGTTATGTGAATTTCACCTTATGAAAAAAACTTAAATGTTTGCATATCAACATTCCCCAAAGAAAACTAAAAGACACATAAGTTACAAACTTATGTGAGAGATATGTGAAACAAATACCAAAAAATGACTAGAATCAAGAATGAAGGGGCTAGCCAGTTAGCTCACTTGGGAGAGCACGGTGCTGGTAACAACAAGGTCAAGGGTTCAGATCCCCATACCAACCAGCCACCAAAAAAAAAGAATGAAAAAGAATCCCTAGCTCAGTAATGAACACACAAACAAAACCATAGAATAGACAAAAGTCATTAAACACCTTTTCACAGAAGAGAAAGCATGTATGAAGAGATGTTCAACTTCATTAGTAATCAGAGCTATCTCCATCAAAGTGACAAGACACCATATCATAGGTATTCAATGACAAATATTTTAAAATTTGATAACAGAAGTATTGAAGCAAAGACAGACCCACGGGATATCTCATTCACTGTTTTTGGGAACGTAAGTTGGCAGAACTGCTTTGGGAAAATTAAACATCCACACACCATACAACTTAGCAATTCCACTCTAAGTATAAAACCAAGATACACATTTGCTCATGTACCACAGGAGACATACACAAGAGTGTTCATAGCGGGCCGGCCCGGTGGCACACTGCTACAGTGCGGCGCTTGGGAGCACGGCGGCACTCCCGCCGAGGGTTTGGATCCCACATACAGACCAGTTCCTGCTCACTGGCTGGGCGAGGTGCGGGCGCAGCACCGAGGGTTGCGATCCCGTTGCCGGTCCTGGTCCGGTATGGGCGCAACACTGAGGGTTGCGATCCGTTGCCGGACACGAAAAAAGACAAAAAGACAAAAAAAAAAAAAAAAAAAAGAGTGTTCATAGCACTATCATAATACAAAAACCTAGA